CGAAACGAGCACGTACTGAACGAACGTCACCGGATCAATCGCAAAAGCCACCTCTTTCGGGCGGGGAGACGCCCTCTCTCCATAGGACTTCGTCCCAAACCGAGGGTCGACACCAAACTCCACCACTCCGCAGGTCATCCTCCAAGTCTGGAGCTCAACGCAGATCTCCATCTCGTCACAGGACAGCCTCTAAGCCCGAAGCTCAACGCAGATCTCCATCTCGCCACAGGTCATCCTCCAAGTCGAGAGTTCAACGCAGATCTCCATCTCGCCACAGGTCATCCTCCAAGTCGAGAGTTCAACGCAGATCTCCATCTCGTCACAGGACAGCCTCAAAGCCTGAAGTTCAACGCAGATCTCAGTCTCGTCGTAGGACACCAGCTCGAGCTGAAAACGAACAAAAGGCACCAACTCCCTACCAGGACATGCGAGCGGAGGACCTCAGAAGGGAACTCTTCAAAGCGGACAAAGAGATTCGGGAGATCAACGCTCAGATGGAAAATGAGCTACGACTCAACACCGAGAGGGCTCAGCAACGACACGAGGAACTTCGCCGGGAAAAGGACATTTTGCTCGCCAAGAAATGTCGGCTCAAGGGAAGACTGGACGATCTACGTATATTGGCCCGTCGGAATGAGATGCAGCCTCACCGTGGAAGGAGCCGTGAGCGTGGACAGTCTACAAGGGACCCCTCGCGCCAAGCTTCAACGCCCCGGGGAGTATAACGACTCCCAGTCGTTATTCCTTTCTTGTGCAGTTTGAATTCAGTTCTCATCGTTCATGACTCATCAAGGGAGGAATTCAAACTTGCACGATCAATGCTTCTTTGTGCCATCGATGTAGCAGCTTCTTTCTTTATCTGTAGGAACGATCGGCTCCGCCTCGCCTCGCTAACATAAACAATCTGCCGCATTCTACAGTTCAGCCTGCGCCGGAGCCGGCCGCTCATCGTTTAACCTCCTTTATTTGAATCTCTGATGCTCCAAAACTTGCCTGTATTTAGTGCAATACTTTTATTACCTTTATATACATGATAAACGTTTAATTACCCAAGTTTGAGCTGTCTACCTGTCGCGACTTGGTGAAGTTCGAGCTGAAAAACCCGCGTGGCACTCTTCAGAGGAAAGGCGAGCTGAAACTCCATCAAAAGGTCACTCCCCACAGTCGCGATATTGGTGCATCGGCTAAATCGATATTCGAGTAAGTGGTCAACAGTTACTGTATCGTCATCTGTCCTGTCTTTGCATGCAAAGTTCTCCGTCTATCACTCACTGCACGGTAATACTTCACTGCACAAGGACTCTCCAAAGGACATCTAAGGATCGACGAATAATCTTCAAAGGATTCCGTCATGGCAACTGGTCTCAAAGGCAAGCAATCTTGGCTAACCAGGCAAGGGACCCAGCTACAGGATTCCGTCAATCGACTCGAGCAGCTCAGTTCCTCACAGAATCCGGATCCGAAAAAGCTCTACATTGAGCTTCGACAAGGGACGAAGGAACTGGAACTGAAGCGTGAGGCTCTGGAGAAGGCTTTGGAAAGCTTCACAAAAGCAGCTGATTCGGCAGCTCTCAACGAGGAGAATCAGGAAAAAGCACAATCCAACATCACAACGGCACAGGAGATCCTTGAAAGGGGTCAGGATCTCTCCGTACGACTACTAATACGACTCGAAGAATTCGAAGCCACGAAAATCAAGGACGCTCACGAAGACAACGGTAGAAAACCGCATCTACCGCCCCTTCAAATCCCTAAGTTCAAGGGACAAATCTGGGAATGGGACCAATTCTGGGGAATTTTTTCGACCACAGTCCATGCCCAGGAAATCAGCAAAATCGAGAAATTCACATATTTGCTCGATGCTCTACAAGGACCAGCCCGAGAAGCGGTCCAAAATCTGCAAATTTCAGCAGAGAACTACGACCTCGCCGTGGACACCCTCAAGCGGAAATACGGCAACGAGGAAGCCATCATAGGACGTCTGCTATCGTCACTACAGGCAGTCCAAACGCATGGCTCCAGCACGACCGATCAACGTCGGATTCTGGAGAAAATAGCACCGATCATCTCTCAACTTCAGCAGAAAGGAGAGTGGATCGACACACAGCAGATGAAGCGAACGATTCTGGGAAAATTCTCGGAAAAGGTACAGCGTGCAGTCCTGAAACGAAGGAAACGCTCTTCGTCGGGCACAGACTCCGAAACGTGGACAACACAGGAACTTTTGCATGAGTTGCACGACTACTTCCAAACAGAGGAAGAGATCCAGCACAGCAAAGGATTCTCGGAAAGCCCAACTCATCCTCAGGTTCCACGCACCACGACAATGAGGAAGCCGTTCGGCAATGCTCGAGAAGTGGCTCGAGAAATTCCGAAGAAATTTCCATGCTTCTACTGCCACCGAACGGACCATATCCCAACAAACTGCACAGAATTCGCAACCTACGCGCAAAGAATGGCACAAATTCAGCAAAGGAATCTGTGCAGAAACTGCGGTTCCAATACCCACAATGCTGCAGATTGCTCACGAGGAGCATGTCGGAAATGCAGCAAAAAAGGACATCACACTTCGGTCTGCCGGCAATTCGGACTGAAAGAGAGCGAGCCAGCTCGACAGCATACCAACTTCAAAGGAAATGCTCAGGAATCTTCACAAGCGAAAAGGAAATCTTCCACATCACAGAATTTCGCTGCTGTCGTCGCTCACCAGCAGTCGACGACTTGTCTCTTAGGGAAGGACAAGATCTCACAGAATCTGGAAGAGCAGCACTCTCACACCCAGGCCAATGTACTCGTGGGCAAAGCCCGAGTATGGAACGCAAAAACCGAGGGTTTCGAGGATGTGCACCTCATCCTAGACACTGGAGCGGATCGATCCTTCATCACGACGGACTACGCCGACAAGCTAGGACTACAGAGCACAGGATCGCTCCAGCTGACCATACACACGTTTGGCAGCAACGTACCAATGGAGAAAATGTGCCCTCTCACCTCGGTCGAGCTAGAGGATCGCAAAGGAGAGCGACACGTCTTCAATGTGGCTATGGTCGACTTCATCTCAGGAGATCTTCACCGGACTCCCCTCAGTAAGGACGACCACGCATACCTTGCACAGCACAACATTGCTTTATCCGTTTCTTCGCAAGAGAAAGTGGTAGCACCGCGCATACTACTCGGATGTGACGATGTCTTCACGCTGTTTGGAAGACACTGTATCCCACCCTCATGAACTCCCCTCGGGACTGAAAGTACTGCAATCCAAAATAGGCTACCTTGTCACAGGAAGGAACCGTACCATCGAGAAACAGCCTTCTACGGAATCCCATGCCAACAAAGCCATACAGTCTACCAGTACAACGCACCATGAGGACGAGTTGAGAAAATGGGAAAAATTCTGGAGTTTGGACTCTGCAGGAGTGGAGGAATTCACTGGACCCATGGCTGAGGAGAACGAGGAGCAGGACCGAAAAGTCTGGAGTCAATTCCGTTCGACCATCGAACGACACGACGACGGATACTACGTAAGACTGCCATGGAAAGAGTCAACGGACGACCTTCCAGATAATCGGACGATTGCCTTCAATCGACTGAAAAGTGTGCTGAATCAACTCAGGAACCAACCTCATTTGCTGCTACAGTACCACAACACGTTCCAGGAGCAACTTGCAAAAGGAATTATTGAAGAGGTTGATGAGCACGCCGAACCTGACGGGAAAGTGATCCACTATTTAGCACATCAAGCAGTTCTCACTCCTCACAAGGCCACGACCAAGCTACGAGTCGTGTTCGATGGATCGGCTCACCATAGGAATGCGCCATGCTTGAACGACAAGTTACACCAGGGACCCGTGATTCTCCCTTCGTTGGTGGACATGCTTAACCGCTTCCGCATCGGGAAAATAGCCATCATCAGCGATATTGAGAAAGCCTTCTTACAAGTCCATCTGCAGAAGATCGACCGCGACGCAACACGCTGTCTGTGGATCAAGGACATCGAGAAGCCACTCACGAGGTCCAACATGGTCACATTCCGTTTCACTAGGGTCACATTTGGGCTCAACTGTTCGCCATTCCTTCTGGCGGCGACCATCATGGAGCACCTAGACCGTTCACCGGATAAGGAAATGGCCAACCATATCAAGGACAACATATATGTTGACAACCTACTGCTCACAGCTGACACTCCAGATGAAGCAGTCGAGCGATGCCTCACAGCAAGGAGCTTTTTTGCGGAAATCAACATGAACCTAAGGGAATTTCGCACGAACTCCAGCACAGCGAACTCGATGCTTCCCGAAGGCTGCTTGTCAAAGTCTTCTTCGCCTAAAGTCTTAGGCATCCAATGGATTTCGGACACGGACAAGCTGCACATCGCCTGCAACTACCCCGCAAAGACGGTCACAACAAAACGGACGGTGTCGGAGCAAGTGGCGGCAGTATACGACCCACTAGGATGGCTCACACCTCTGACGTTGAAACCAAAGCTCTTCCTACAGGAATTGTGGAAGCACACCTACAAATGGGATCAAGAGCTATCTGAGGACCACAAAGCCCTGTGGAAAGCTACAGTGGACGCTATCCATGGCTTCGAAAAAGAACTGCCAAGGAAGATCAGCGAAGGATCTTCAGCTTCGCCAGCGGAACTCGTGGCCTTCACGGACGCAAGTCGAAACGCAATGGCCGCTTGCGTATACGTTCTCCAAGATCAAAGGGCACTGTTACTGATGGCAAAATCCAAACTGCCATCAATAAAGGACAACCCCACGATACCTAAGTTGGAAGTCAACGCCATAACGATGGGCACACGATTAATACGCACGGCTTACAACGCAATCAAGGACAAGCTCCAGATCAAGGATATCACCATTTTCTCCGACTCGGAGATTGCCTTGAGCTGGATAAGGAACCCGAAATTGCATCCGAAAGTGGGGGTTCTCGTCCACAACCGAGCCAAGGAAATCCGAAGGATAACGCACGATCTCGAACATCATGGAGTAACCGTGAAATTCGGATACATCAACACGGCGATCAATCCAGCAGATTGCGCCACACGTGGTCTCTCCAAGGACGAGCTCGTCGACGATCATCTTTGGTGGGAAGGACCACCCTATTTTCAACATGCGAAGAAGGATTGGCCGGAACACCATGTTCTGCCCGTAGAGGATCAACAAGATTGCCTCCTACCCACAATGGTGTCCGTTGCGACGACGTCAACACCTCCAGTGACGGAACTATTGGATTGGTCACGTCACTCGTCATTGCAGAAAGGTGTCGCCATCAATGGCTTATGCCCTCAGATGGTTGGAGCGCCTCACGAAAAGAATCAATCCAGAGCTGAAGGAGCGAATCCGAAGTAATGTACCAGAACTTCGGGACCACTATGCGGAGGACTTCATCACAGTCCCTGAGCACACAAAAGCGCTGGAACTGCTGATTCGGAATCATCAAGCGATCCATGTGGAAGGCAAAATCCCAGCACAAACGGATCGACTCATCCCGATAAAGGATTCAAAAGGACTAACTCGTTGTCGGGGACGGCTACAGCAGTCCGATCTCTCCGAAGACACGAAATTTCCGATTCTGATCGGGTCTCGGACAGAACTCGCTAGACTTATCATACAGGAAGCACACTCTCAACTTCATCTAGGCACAGCCCACACGATGATGAAAGTTCGGGAAAAATATTGGATACCACAACTAAGGAGACAAGTTCAAAAAGTACTCCGAAGGTGTGTGCCCTGCCAGCGGATGAACAACCTGCCCTACCGCTACCCCGAGATGTCGGATCTCCCAGAACGACGGGTTTCTCGCAGTCGACCTTTCCAACACGTCGGCATCGATTATTTCGGCCCACTGTCTGTGAAAACGGCTACCGGAGAAACGTCGAAGGCGTATGGAATCATCATCACGTGTATGGTGACTCGACTTCTGCATCTAGAATGCGCTCCAGACATGTCTACAGAGAATCTTCTTCATGCATTGCGACGCTTCTTTGCCAGAAGAGGAGTTCCAGAAACGATCACGTCTGATAATGGCCCTTACTTCTTGCTGGGAGACCAAATTTTAAGAGATGCTGCATCTCAAACGCTCAACAATACGGAAATAGCCAAGGCAATGGCCACGAAAGGGATCTCGTGGAAAACCATCACACCCTATGCACCTTGGAAAGGAGCGTTCTACGAACGACTCATCAAATCGGTCAAGCAGTCTCTGTATAAAGCTATCGGACGAACAGTTTTGAGCACGGAAACGTTGACGACACTGCTGGTAGAAATCGAAGGATCGTTGAACACTCGCCCGCTCACCTACCAGGAGGAACATTGGGAGGAACAAACGATCATTCGACCGATCGATTTTATCCAGAAGGACATGGTCATCACGTATCCCATGGAAGGAGTAGGAGACTCTTCGGATGATCCAGAGTATCACCCCCCAGCGGACGTGATGATGCTCCAAACGAGACGTCAAACCGAAGAAGCCCTTCGGAGTTCCCACCAGTTCACGGAAAAGTTCTGGAAAGCATGGAGCCAACAGTACCTGACCGCTCTCCGAGAACAACACATACGTAAGCTACCAGGAAGCCACGGTACCCCAAAACAGCCGCAGCCTGACGACGTTGTTCTCATAGCGGATCCTAACTTACCAAGGAACACGTGGAAAATCGGACGTATTACCAGTGTGACCACGAACGCGGATGGTGCAGTACGTGAAGCTCACCTCATAATGCCCAATCGGCGGACAACGAAAAGACCGATCAATCACCTCATTCCTCTCGAACTCGACGATCCACCACAGGAACGAGACGCGCAGGAGGCTGCAACCTCCCAACCTAGTGCTCCGAGCGACGAGAAAGTAGCTGATGCTCAAGCGACCACTACAGCGCACCCAGAGGCACAGAACAGAGCTCAGCACTACAGTCTTCGGAATCGACCACGAGTCAACTATGACATGCTTCACAGAGGAGGATTACTACCGATTCTTTGTTTCATGAGCATACTGACACTCGGCACTGGAACATTTGCCAACCCAACGAAGCCTCCCATAACAATGGGAATGGACTCCACAAGCGGAACTATTCAGTGCACAGCTGGAGGAGTTCTTATCACAACGAGAAACGTAATGTCATACGAACTGTGTGCTGAAGGATACTGTATCGTTCGGGATAACCCACCGGCTATGGAAACACTTCATCTACCACCCGAGATCACACTACATGAGCACACGATCCACTGGAAAGCTTCCAACGGGAAAAAATTGAAGACCATAGAAACGACATGCCCGGCAGGACCATTTTGCTCAAGAGTAGACTGCTGGTTCTGCACCGCCAATGTGTTTAACCCGGAATGCCAACCCCGCACCGCGATTATCACTATGACGGTTATCATCTACATAGCAGTAGCCCTTCTCTATACGATCTGTTACATACCAGTGGTGATTGGGCACCCCTGCAGAGTCTTCTTTCACGGCTGTCAGCTAGTGGTAACTTTCGTTTGGGGGATCGTACAAGCCCTCGTTCAGCTTCTTCGACGAAACGGAGCCAACCAACAACGAAGACGTCCATCACGATCAGGATTCATACCACTAGTGCTGATCTTTGGCTTACTCTGCTTAGGACACTGCTGTCAGGACGTAGACATTTTGGAACACAAAACAATGGTCTGCTCCATGTCTACAGGACGTCGTTCCCTCTGCAAAATCGACGTGACCGAGCTAATCAAGCTCAATACCTTCAACAAAGAGGCATGCTTTCGCCTCTACCATCTCGGACACCTCGTCAAAGAAATCCGATTGCAATGGATCAAGCTGAAATTGACGTGTAAAAAAGAAACGACGATGTTCACACGTCACACACAACAGAGAGTACTTGATTCCAAACGATGTTCGGACGCAGGAACCTGCAAGGATCTGAAATGTGCCGGAGTCAATACGACCACTCTTGTAACGGAACTCAAGCCAGCCAATGAATACCCTGGATTGACCTTCTGTTCAGAGAGCTGCGGAGGACCAGGATGTGGATGTTGGCACTGGGATAGCGGTTGCCTATTCTACCGCATATATTCCAAACCTCTCAGCAAGGACGTATTCGAAATATTCCGATGTTCACGATGGAATGAAGAAATCCTAGTGGAAGTATCCGTCACGACATACGGATCAAGGCCAAAACTCACAACGGCCTCACTCATACCATCTATTCCACACATGATCGATTCCATGAAGTTTACGGTAACCTCACTGACTATTCCACCTACACCAGCTCTTCAAGCCCACTTTATCACGGAAGGGAAACACGTAGCACTGTGGAAAAACACATACTCACCAACGCTGCGATGCGCATCAAAGCAAGAAGCCGAAAACCTTCAATGCGAAGTTCATCCCACATGCTCATGTCAACCAGCGGAAACGAAAGTCAACTGCGTATGCACAGACTACAATCTGATGGACGACTTCAACGGACAGTTGGAAAACCGACTTCCAATCAGAAGACCGTGGATCACCTTCGAGGAGGACCACACTACAGAGGACGTATCGGTACGAGCAACCATACCAAACCTATCGACAGCGGAAATATTGGTGACCGTAAACGACGATTTCGACACGACGGTGAAAGAAGTTACGGACTCCATATGCAAAGTCGATACAACGGAAATTACAGGATGCTACAACTGCCCCCAAGGAGCAACAGCTGAAATCACCTGCACATCTCAAGAGGACGATACCGTAGCAGAAATTCTCTGCGATAGCTACGCCTTTTCAGTCCCCTGCACCACAAAAGGAACCGTTTCTTCATTGAAGTTCAACTTCCAGCACGCTCAAGTATATCTCTCATGTACGTCAGCGTGTGGAACTACGAAAACCGGGTTCAAAATTGCGGGAATACTTCATTGGACAAGAACGATACACAGTGCAGCGGAACGACTTCTGGCAGGGGAGAGCAACCTGTACAATGAGGTTATCCTACCAGACTTCGGGCACATCGCAGATGTTCTACTAGGATGGTTCAAATTCTCGATGGCCTCTCTACTGCTGCTAGCTATCGCAATCGTCACAGGATATCTATTCGTGTGGAGCTGCGGGATCAAGACAGCCGCATTTTTGATCAGAGTGATGTTCAGGATCTTCAGGCGATCCGTGACCACACTCTTTCGTGCCGTTTTCAGAGCAGGACTACTACTTCATAGCCGCTCACCACGCTCACGATTGCATGCATGCAAAGAGCTATGACTGTAGCAGCATACTGCATGTGTATATATGTATCATACAGAACGGCACGACGATAGCATGACCACATACGTGTCACCATAGTCCATAGTAGTTATACATCATTCATTTTTATTTACAGCTGCCAGTAAAACCGCTTCTACTTCAACATGCCGAAGCCAAAAGATGCTGCCACGGGAAAGCCAACAGAAGCTGAAAAGAAGCAATCTCAGACGACACCGGCTCCAACCAGCTCTACTAAAGGAGCCGCGTCCAAGCTGTCCAAAGCTGGGGCGACAGTTACTCCAAGAAGTTCGACTTCGACAGCAATCTCTTCTCCAGCCACGACATCTAGTGCAGAAGACCCAATACCTTTCACAAAACGAGAGGATGTGGAGAAAGCTTGCTTCAAACTCTGCCGTGCGGGCATCAACCTCATGGGGCTGTTCCACAACGAAAGCACCCCTCTACAGAAGGAAGTGGATGCCTCGCAAAGGCAAACGATAGCCGAACTCGAAAAGCTCGTCAAGGATTTGCGAGAGCTTCAGAACAATACTCCAAGGACTGACGTTAACTTGGACCAGGCCGTGACCACCATACGAGACAACGTGGAAAAGGCCAACGGAGTGCTGTTCACTCACTTTCTGGATTGGAAATCGGACGTGTCAGACAGAATTGACCGTCTCCTGCAGATGAAAACACCATGTGCCCTCACAAAAGTGGACCTCATCAACACCGTCAGGCAGGAATACGATAAATTCCGCGATCATCAGCGAGCCCTAGACGAGCAGAAAGCGATTCCATGCACACCACAGGACCTGAAACCTCTACACGACAAATACGACGAGCTGCTCCAGAGAATCAGCGCCCTGGAGATTCAAGTCCAGCAGTCAACCAAGGACAATGCTAGCTTCTTCGAGAAGACGGGACAAACGCTAGCTACCATAGAGGAGTACATACGACAAGATGCCGACTCCTCATCGTCATCGTCTTCATCACGGAAGTCACGTTCGCCAACACGTACCCAGCCCGAGGCCGCAGCAAAGCGCAAGCGCTCATCAGCGGATTCGAGTGCATCGTCGAAACGAGCACGTACTGAACGAACGTCACCGGATCAATCGCAAAAGCCACCTCTTTCGGGCGGGGAGACGCCCTCTCTCCATAGGACTTCGTCCCAAACCGAGGGTCGACACCAAACTCCACCACTCCGCAGGTCATCCTCCAAGTCTGGAGCTCAACGCAGATCTCCATCTCGTCACAGGACAGCCTCTAAGCCCGAAGTTCAACGCAGATCTCCATCTCGCCACAGGTCATCCTCCAAGTCGAGAGTTCAACGCAGATCTCCATCTCGTCACAGGACAGCCTCAAAGCCTGAAGTTCAACGCAGATCTCAGTCTCGTCGTAGGACACCAGCTCGAGCTGAAAACGAACAAAAGGCACCAACTCCCTACCAGGACATGCGAGCGGAGGACCTCAGAAGGGAACTCTTCAAAGCGGACAAAGAGATTCGGGAGATCAACGCTCAGATGGAAAATGAGCTACGACTCAACACCGAGAGGGCTCAGCAACGACACGAGGAACTTCGCCGGGAAAAGGACATTTTGCTCGCCAAGAAATGTCGGCTCAAGGGAAGACTGGACGATCTACGTATATTGGCCCGTCGGAATGAGATGCAGCCTCACCGTGGAAGGAGCCGTGAGCGTGGACAGTCTACAAGGGACCCCTCGCGCCAAGCTTCAACGCCCCGGGGAGTATAACGACTCCCAGTCGTTATTCCTTTCTTGTGCAGTTTGAATTCAGTTCTCATCGTTCATGACTCATCAAGGGAGGAATTCAAACTTGCACGATCAATGCTTCTTTGTGCCATCGATGTAGCAGCTTCTTTCTTTATCTGTAGGAACGATCGGCTCCGCCTCGCCTCGCTAACATAAACAATCTGCCGCATTCTACAGTTCAGCCTGCGCCGGAGCCGGCCGCTCATCGTTTAACCTCCTTTATTTGAATCTCTGATGCTCCAAAACTTGCCTGTATTTAGTGCAATACTTTTATTACCTTTTATATACATGATAAACGTTTAATTACCCAAGTTTGAGCTGTCTACCTGTCGCGACTTGGTGAAGTTCGAGCTGAAAAACCCGCGTGGCACTCTTCAGAGGAAAGGCGAGCTGAAACTCCATCAAAAGGTCACTCCCCACAGTCGCGATTAAAGAAAGCGATGATAGTGGTTCAGGGATCATAGTGATCAAGGCGTTCATGTGCAACAGTCAGGGAGGGGCGGAGGTGAGCATATTCCAGTGAGTGAGCGAATTGCTGTGCTTGGAATTTAGCATCAGAGAGGGGAAGGATTTGGTAGAAGATGTGAGCAATTTGTGTTCTCCCTGGCGTTTCTCCCCTCTCCTGGGCTTAGTCCTAGTGTCACCTACCATCGGCCCTGTTTGAATGTTCTCCTAAGGACATGAGCGCCGCGATCAGCAAGCATATATAGTTGACACTAAATAACTATATCTCCGTGATACTTCTAATTTTAGGTTTCCTTATTCGGTTTGATGAGAGCAGTGACATCCTTGTGGAGGTTCTCTACATTTCGTCTCCCTGCGCGCGCTGAAATCTCCGCAGTGACCTCGCTGGATTCGAATCTTCGCAAGCGGAAAGTTTTTTCAGACCGCAGAATCAGACTTTCTCAGCAATCTCGACACGCTTCGTCAAGTTGAGTTCTATTGCGGAGCACGCGAACTCTTCTCTCTTCGGGGTGTCGCGCATGCCACCGCACAATTCGCCGCGTGGCAGCCCGGACAAGCCAAAGTCCCGTACTCCTCCCTTCCTATGTCATCATTGTGGTCGTATGATTACAAACACTTCCCATTCAAAGTTTTATTTTATACAGCTATGATACCAGCCGCTTCAGTCCAATTGAAAAACTTGCAGAATTTGCGTTAGCACTGCGAGTGAGTGGCAACAGCATCGCCTTTTCTTTCTTATGGTTGGTCCTTGCACTTACGATCCACTCACCTCACTTCGGAGCAAGTACGACCCCACTGTTGAGGAGTTCGTCGACCATTGTACACTCTGGCGCACACGAGTGCGTTTTGTAGTGAAGGGCATGCCCCGACCGGTCTATCAGGGCCGTATTCGCGTCGCTCGCGCCGTTGCACGATGAAATCCGCCGCTTGACTCGAGCCGTTAAGCAGAGAAAGCGTTGGCACCAATGAGACCCGCATCAATGCGGAATTCATTGGCAGAGGGGCATCATTTCTAGGGTCTAGATCGTGTTTCTTCATCATTTTTCTTTAAGCCGGCATAGGGCATTTTCCGA